CGAGCCCACCTACGTTTGAAGTCATCCCATTTGTTCGTGAAATCCGCAAGCTCTTTCTCAACCTTAATAAATAGCAGTAGCAGTCGGAAAAAGTAAGTAAATAAATAAATAAAAGGCAAATAATGGATAAAACAACAGTTAAGAGTCAAAGAAGCTAGCAGAATTTGTACATGAGGCAGAAGGACTGATCGACAAAAAAGGGATTTTTCTTTTCTGAGTTCGGTGGCCTCAACGAATGCGCGATCCAGATAGTACTCGTCCCAATCCAACTTTCTTTCCTCACTGTCTGAATCATGGTTTGTCCTCCACCTCTGGCAAGCGCTCTCAATCAGCTCCCAGACATTATTATCCTCAACCATTTTCGAGTTTCCTTCACATTCTGAACATGATCAACCAAAAACAGATCTGAACTCTTAAAAAAATGAATTGAAAACATTTGCGTAGTACAATGTGACAAAAATTGATACACGCAAGTAAGGGCATGGATTTTGCTTTTATTTACGCTGTATATCAGAATATAGAAATAAAAGATAAGAAACTGTCACACACACATTATACATAAACCTCAAACTAAACAATGGAGAACAGGGACGAAACAATGCATACACAAACATTCACAAATCACGCGATGAAACATAATAACCGAAATTAGATAGACATGAACCTTGAAGAAGTTTTGCAGCGAATTTAATGACGGGGTGAGAGAGATGAACGCCATAACTTAGTTCGAACTTTCGCTTCTGTGTGATTTTCTCCCCCATCTCGGTTAATCGTAGACCGTTTTTAGTAGAACTCAACCCAATTTATAAAGAAATCTTGTAATGCACTAGAATTTTTTAATTATTAATTTCACTTTTTTTTTTTTGGTACATTTAATTTCACTTTTTTAAAATAACAAAACGATTAAAATCGAGTTTTCCTGATTAATCCCCAATCCCTTGTTCAATTGATAATCCCTCAAAACAATTTAAAGAGTGTACTCGAGATATTTTTAAAAACCTTATAAGACTATGCATTTTTATTTATGTTTTGTCATTGTCACACTCACACACATGTTCTTTATCATTACTTTTAAGTACCAAGTTTAAGTATATATAATTGTTTCATAATTTTTACATCATTTTCAACAATACATCATGTCTATGTCTAATGAACAATGGAGTTTTGACAACAAGTTTACGTCATTTAAAGAGAATTTGGATGTTAGAATTCAATGGTTCTCAAGTTCATTCAGACAACAAATAGGATAACATTCACTTAATATGTAGTCGATTTATTTAGTTATTCATTTTCATTCTAAAATTATTTACATTTCGGACGTGAAGAAAAAACAGTATCACATTCTTCACAATTCTTCTGTAGGAGGATCCAACATTGTCAAATATGAGAGCATCTAGTGATTATTGTTTTTTAATGAATTCATCTTTTCACATTGCTAACTTTTATCATTCATGCGTATCTATTATCTATTTGTGCTTATTTAGATTGTATCTTTTGGAATTTTTTTACATTTGTTATTATTGTTTCACAAATAATTTATTAANTCAGTGCATACTTGAAGTCAAAGGGATATGTAGAACCAGAATTGGCAGTGAAAAAGACGAGGCCGGTGAGGCTTGTTTGAAGCCAGCTCGTAGCCAATTATTTCTATTGATGGCGACCCATGATGATCGTCAATAAGTTTATTATGGGAGTCTCTTGAATTTGACTGTGGTGCATCTATAAACAGCTCCACAGGACCACAGAGATTGTAGGTCACGATTAATAACAAAATTCAAAGGAAACACAAGCTCGAAGTCGACATAATTCAAGGAAAATGCGACCCAAATAAAAAATGCATATAACACATGGACCCTAAATTTTCAAACATAAGCATGCAAAACACAAGCACGCAGGGGCGGAGCTAGTATAGAACCAGTGTGGACCTAGGCCCACACTGAATTTTACAAAAGAATTTTTAAAGACTAGGGTCATATATAAATTACTTGATAAATGATCTAATTTGAATTGTGTAGGTGCATTTAGGAAGATATAATTGTATCTCTCTCTAAATTATAAAATGACTTATTGCATTTTTTTTTACCATCATTAATTATTTTTTATTTATTTTTATTTACAGAAATTGACACTATTTTGCTTAGATATGTATATGACTTATATAGTAAGAAGAAAAAATTAAAAAACCTTCTTAATTATGTTTATTGATTCACTAACATAGTCAAGTTGATTCTAAATTTGATCCCAAAATTATTGGAATTAACAATACATAAATAATAAGTTTTCACATAACGCACTTTAAATTATATTTATGATTAATAGTTAATTGTGTTTTTAAAAATAAAAAAAATAATAAAAGGATAAATATTGATTGGACATATGACTTTTTTTCTTTCCTTTTCATTCAATCAAGGTTTGTATTGTTGAAACTGAGAAAAATAATAAAAAAAATCATAATAATACTTTATTTCATCCCACCTTTTTTTTTTCAACAAGTAACACAATTAAAATATAATAATTTCATATAATGTTATAATTTCTAATAATATTATTATTAATTCATTAGAATATCTTTATATGTCATTAATCAGATCAACTTTAATTGTTACATTTTTATCATGTATTCATTCACAATTTCAAATCTAAATCACTTTTTTTTTATCTCTATTTTTAGATGAGACAATATTTTTGGAAAACAAAATATATACAATTGCAACCTATAATTTCATTTTATAATTCAGATGGTTAGTTACAAAACCAACTTAGGCCCCACTCATGTAAATTTCTAGATCCGCTCTTGCAAGCACGACTATGATGCATCTATATATAGGTGTGTATGTGTGTTTATAGAATATAAAGTGAGCAAGTTTCGAGACTTTGCTGCATAAGCATGCAAAATTTTCAAAACAAAAATAAAAGCCAACATTTTGTCCGACAACTTGAAAGTTTTTAGGCAGGTGGAGGACGACAAACTCCAAATTGGTTATATATAAACATTCTTTTGGAAATCAATGAACATGTCAAGACGAAAATTACAATTTTCTTTAACAATCAATTTAGACGACCTAACTATAGAGACTCTTGTTATTAGGACAAGACGGGGGAACTAAGAAACATATATGCATGTGACCCATAAGTGTGCTAGCTCTCTCCCTTCTCTTCAATATCGCCTCTTGAAAGTTATAAATTCACGAAGTTTGATTTCATTCTTGACAATCCCGTAAAAAATTGGACCTCCAAAATTACGCCAATCTTGGCAGTCGGTGTTAAGTAAGCACGAGAAGCAAATAATAGCCCCGAACGTGAAGTGCATACAGTAGATAACCAGTGTTACAAACGTTTGAAAATGTGTAAAGACTAATGTATTATCCTGTGTTCTCAAATGATTTGAATTCACTAAATATGTACACAGTAGATAACACCAGTGTTACAAAGGTTTGAAAATGTGTAAAGATGAATGTATTATCATGTGTCCTCAAATGATTTGAATTCACTAAATATGTACACACTAGTATAAGTGTCAGTCTAAAATGCAAGTTTGCTGAACTCTCAAGTTAGATCATATATATCACCATAGATGCAGATAGTGTCATTGAAGAAACTGAAGGTGTGTGAATATGCAATCTAAGGTGCATGAATATTCTGATTGTTTCCTGAAAAATAGGATCATGTGGTGACTACTTGGACTAAGCAGCCAATGCAAAGACCAAAATGTAGAATTAGGCTGGCCCAAAATATGGAAATTAAATAAAAAAAAAAAATCAAAACACAAAACAGAACAAAATCATATCAAACCCCTATTATACATGGAATGTTTAGTTGGAGTCCATCTCAATTCAACAAAGCAATAACCACGCAGCGGCGAGTCATCTACAGTTTCTATGACTAAGGTGAGAAAACATTAAACTCGGTTATGACTCGAACAAATGAAAAGCAAAAGGCAAGCATATCTATGTTTTAACTAATTCATCTAAAATAACTGAACCCAAAGCCAATTGAACTCCAGCATATTTCAATTCAACCAATTGAAAGAGTTACTACACTATTACGTGTGACTAAACTTTGAGCAACATTAGAACATAAAAGTAGAGTAGTCTACTTACGAAAACATAAAAGTAAAAATGGAGCCTCACACCAATAAGGTGTAATTTACAGAACATAGGATCTGAAATTCGTATGAAAGTAGCTAAGTAACCAAAAACGAAAGGACATCCAAAAAATAATCCATCACCGCATCAACCGCCCAACGACCAAAAGTCCATGTGACATTCATTGAGAAGTGCAATCTGGAGCACTACAAAAAGAAAAGAACGCACAAAATGAATCCTTGATGATCTAAAACGCACATAAGAGAAATAAGACAGATAGGGCAAAAAAACATCAAGGAATAAATTCAAGGAAAATGCGACTCAAATGAAAAACACATATAACACATGGAAATTGCAGATATTCATATCAAAAGCTAAATTTTCAAACANAAGAAGAGCCAACATTTTGTTCGACAACTTGAAAGTTTTTAGGCAAGTGGAGGACGACAAACTCCAGATTGGTTATATATAAACGATTCTTTTGGAAATCGAGGAACATGTCAGGACGAAAATTGCAATTCTCTTTAACAATCAATTTAGACGCCTAACTATAGAGACATTTGTTATTAGGACAAGACAGGGGAAGTAATAAAACATATATACATGTGACCCATAAGTGTGCTCTCTGGCTTCTCTTCAATATCGCCTCTTGAAAGTTATAAATTTACGAAGTTCGATTTCATTCTTGACAACCCCGTAAAAAATTGGACCTACAAAATTACGCCAATCTCGGCAGTTGGTGTTAAGTAAGCACAACAAGCAAATAATAGCCCTGAACACAAGCTAATTTACCCAAGCTTGAAGTCGACACAATTCAAGGAAAATGCGACTCAAATGAAAAACACATATAACACATGGAAATTGCAGATATTCATATAATTCAAGGAAAATGCGATATAAAGTAGCGAAAAGGACTCACAAGTCGCCGGCCTCCCGAATCAGCAAACCACCAAACCAGTGGTCTGGCCCGCCAAATTCTTGTGCACATTCGCCACACTCAACCCGAGTTGGTACACGTCCTAAGCTTGCCCCCTCCCCCTCTCCATTTACCTGCAAAATTTTGGTCAAAAAGCACCAAGCATGCATAAAATGTGCCTCGACCGTTTCTCCACAAGAAAACATGATTACATAATCATCAAGTTTAAACCCGCGAAAGCAACATGGGGCACTGTGCCCGACCAAATTCATCAAACTCCCAACATCTCCTTTTCTGATGGAAGGATATTGAACGGGCTCTCTCAACCACCATTTTTCCAGCCTAAAGTGGGCAGCACCTTTTACGTTTTCATCTCTGCAAATTGAACAAGTGGTGTAATACCGATCAATCGATCCGGACTTCAGATTCTCATTCTCCCATGCATTAGAGCATTTCTGACAAACCACATGCACCCAACAGGATGGATATACAGTGAGATCCACTCCATCCACAAACTTCGTCAAACAAATAAAACAAGTCTGCTCCATCAGGAAATTGTACAGTCTTTCTGCCTTTCTGTTCCTAAAGCCATATTTCGAGAATATGCAATTAATGTATCAGTAATGTTCTTTCAAACAATTAATTATAGATTGAATAAATGCCTTGGTATTTTGAAGCTTGAAAATTAATGTTTATCATCATCACCATCAAGTCTAAGAGCAGCACAAATAAATATATTTAGCATATTAAATTGCAAATTTATATAGGGATTTGCGCCTTACTCGTTATTGGCCTCTGCTTCTGGCTGCATCTCTCCACCAACGTCTGGTACCGGCTGCATCTCGCCGGCGGCTAACGGTTCCGGCTTCATCTCGCCGGCGGCCAATGGATCCGGCTGCATCTCTCCACCGACGTCTGGTTCTGGCTGCAACTCTCCGGCGGCCTCTGGTTCCGGCTGCATCTCGCCGGAGGCCGCCGGTTCTGGCTGCATCTCGCCGGCGGCCGCTGGTTCGGGCCACATCTCTCTTCCGACGTATGGTACCGGCTGCATCCCTCCGCCGACCTCTGGTTCTGGCTGCAACTCTCCGGAGGCCTCTGGTTCCGGATGCATCTCGCCGGAGGCAGCTGGTTCTGGCTGCATCTCGCCGGCGGCCGCTGGTTCGGGCCACATCTCTATCGGCTGCATCTCTCTCACGGCCTCTGACTCCGGCTGCATCTCCACGGCAATCTGCATATCATCGACGGCCTCTGGTTGAGAGAGAATCTGGTTGCCGGACCCTACTTCATCTCTTAGTCTCTTGTTGTTGTGCTTCCTCGCGTATCTCTGATTCCTCAGAAACTTGGGATCCATCCCTTTGGTGGAGGTATGGTAATGACGTTTAGGCTTCTTGACGCCATTCTTGTGGGCCTTGAACGACTGCTTCTTCTTCGACATTTTTATCTGTGGGAAGAAATATGGAAGTGTCTAAGCGTAAATCGTGGGAGGAAGAAAGTAGGGCATGAAAAAAAGGGAGAGAGAGAGGTGATTGATACTGTAGAGTGTAGAGTACATCTCAGGTCAGGCTTATTATCCGTCGATTCCCATTTTCCACACTCGCAGCAACAAAACGGTTTTTCGAGATATTTTAATTATTTTGGAATTCCAACCGTCGCCTGAACCTATATGTGGCAGCAAAAAGGCTAAAAAGTAAATAAAAAGTTGTACACAAATTAACGTCACTGTGTATCAATTACCAGGTTATATTATATATATATATATATGTATTTGAATAAAAATTCGAGATTGGATATAGATAATTTAAAAAAAAAAGTTTTAATAGTAGAATATGAAAAAAGTGAGGAAAACATTTGGATGGAAGATTCTGTTATATTCTTGAGGAGCTTGTGAGTAAATATGAGGTAAACTGTAATTATTAAAGTTGATATAATATAAAAATAATAAATAATAATTGTGAATAGTTAATAAACATGAATTTTTTGAACAGTAAATTTTATATTTATGATTGACTTATATTTTTAAACTTGTGTTCGATAGATTACGAAAAAATATAAATAAATGAATAGTAAATTCTTTTAAAAAAATTATATCTAATCAAACTCGAATGGAAAAAATTATCCTCGAGACATTCTTTTTATTTGTATCCAATAGATTAGTGTTGTGCTGTCTGTCATCTAGACCCAACTTTTTTTATCCGAAATTTCAGATTAGTGAGAGTACTTGGCATTCCCATGTCTATACTTATATTAAAAGGTATATCATTTACTAGATTTATTATAAAAAAAAGTCAATAATATTTATTGCATTACTATTTCCGTATTATACAATCTATATTTATATAAAAGGAGATTCTATTTACTACATTTACTATCCAGAAAAGTCAACTGCATTAAATGTCATTACTATTTTGATATTATAATATTTTATTTATTTAATTAATTTATTTATTTGGTTTATTTTAAAAAGGTAAGTATAATAAAAAGATTTTAATAATAAAAAAGTCAAATACTAAATAAAAATGTACACTTTGACTTATTTGATTATATTTGGTATTTGATTATACCAAATATATTCCTATTTAGTATATACATTTAATACTTACTAAAGTATTTATTTGTTTTATTTGTCAAAATTAAGTATAGATTTGTTTATATTATCAAATCATAAAAAAATATTAAATCCATATTGTAAAAAAAAAAATCATATAATTTTATAACAAATTTACTACACTATTTAACAATATTTTTTTTATTATATAATAAAATAATAATTAAATATTATATGGTGAACAACAATAAGTAAAACTGTTACTTTCTTTTATATCAAGAGATAAATTTGTATGCTAAAATTAAATTTTTATTAGTATAAATGTTTTAGTGAGATAATATATTAATTATTTTACAAGCTAGCCATAACATACTCTTTTTTTTTTCGAAACGATAGAAGTAGTATTAACTCAAACCGCGAACAATGTTCGAATACAACGAGCAACACCCGAAAATAAAACTGAGAGGACACGCATAAAGCGGCCTAGAACACAATAACCGAAAACAACCTCGACTAACTTCTTCCACTGCCTCAAGGCCTAGAAAAAATAGATATCCAACAGTAAACACACCCAACGAAAAGGAAAATGAAAAAGACCCTACGAAAGACTACCAAAGAAAGCAAAAGCACCAACTACAAGCCAACTATTTGAGCATACTCCAACCAGTCCTCCAGAGCTGCTTTGATGATCAAATGAGCTGGCATAGATGAAGCTTGAAAGAGCCAAAGGTTACGGGTCTTCCAAAGCCACCAAAGCAAATATGTAGTGAGTTGTATGCGGGCTTTGGCTAGCTGTGAAGAGCCAACTGGACAGATATGTGTAACGCCCCACTTTATTTTAAAAGGTTTACCATTTTTATTTAATAAAAATCACAATAAATTTTTCGCAAATCTCAATTTAATTAAAAACTTAGTGGGCGCTACTTGTTTAACCAAAAACTTTTATCCGAAAATGCCAAAATATCAGATACAGAAAGCATGCACGAATAATAAGTCATAACCAAACTACCATTCATTAAGTTCCAAATCATAAAGATAATTCATAACTCCAAGTTCAAAACGACATAATCAAAATATCTCAACATGAGTTCCTTAAATGAGCGGAAGCAAATAAATAAGCAATAAATAAAAGCATGACCACCACCCGTCTTATCTGGTCACCCGCCGACTGCTTAACCTGCATCAGTTACGAGCAGGTGGGAGTGAGTACAGTTAAATATCATACTCACACTATGCATATGAATAACATATATTGGTATGGTCGCAACACGAACATAAACAATAATCACATCATGTCTCATCTCCTATTCAATATCACACCATTTAACCTTACTCCTGTGCACATCTATCGCTAGCCGCAGAACGGGGATTCATTACCCGAAGGCGGGAGTACGTGCCACTGTAACGGACACGGCCTTCCATATGGGCTTACGTACCTCACAAGGGTACGACCATATCAGGACTTAAAGGAGATTGCCACTCAAGGGTACCGTACCGTAACTCGACGGGGACAACCGTACCGACGGCCGTAACAGCTCACATCGATAGGCTACATGTTCACATGCATACATAGATCATACCAAATTTCCCACACAATTAAATCACACATATGCATAGATAATTTTAGAATAATAACCCACCTGGAATCCGGATTGATAATAACTCAAAGCAGTGGGAGTAGGTCGAGGCTGGACTCCTCAATTACCTACATTGAGTCAAGATACTACAATCAACATCTATCTTGACTTTAAACGGAAAACACAAAACAGACCTAGTCGAACTTGTTTCGACTAAGTAGTTCGTGAAGTCCTGTGGATGTTGGAACACTAAGACTCGGCTCTAAACTCGACCAAACAACATAAGGGAGTTTACACAAATCCATCTAAGGATTGACCAAGTTAACTCACATCAAAAACGAAAAGCAAGTTGATTCCCAAAATTTCATATAAAAATCATGTTCGGAAATAGAAATCATTTAATGGCATGAAAATAGATGGTCAAGCTACCCTACAAGTTAAGCTCTGAAAATTTACACAAAATTTCATCTCCCAGAAACATGTAAAACCACAAAGTTTCAGCTTTAAACTCGAAATACCCTATTTTATAAAATTCGAACAAGATATCAGCAAAATGGGCACATTAATTCATACTCAGACTTAATGAATGAATCTGAACTTGAAATTTTAAACAGAAACATACAGTATGCTTAAGTTCATGTATAAAAATCTCAGCCTTAAATGATAATTGCTGCTATTTTTAAAAATTCATACGAGCATCAGCAGCTTATCGAATTTAAATCAAAACAAAATCAAAATGGACTCCAAAAATTCCCATCTTTTAAACACATAATTCAACACATAAAATAGGCTTCTCAGTAAAATTTCAGAATTTTTCACCGAATGACCAATTTATAAAAATTCAAACAACGCTTCAGCAGATTCGATAAATAAATTATTAACCACCTCAAATCAAGTCCAAAAATTCTAAACATTTAACACAACATGTAAAAGTCACAGATGCATGACATATTCGAATTTCAGCTCATTTGATTCACGAATGAATTTTTTTATGCATTTAACATTATTCTAGACAGATTACAATTTAATTTTTAAAAATAGCTACAGGCCTCCAAAAATTACGAAATTTTTACACAAGGCAGGCAATGAGCAGATAACACATCCATAAAAATTTCACATCGTTTAGAGCAGCGAGCTATTTTTAAAAATTCGAACACCGAAACAGCAATTTACAAACTCGACAACTTGGCAATTAAATCACAACATCAAATTTCTCGTCCGAGGCCTTTTCATAAGACCAAGGACTCAACATTGTTCCATTATCCACCGACTTACACGACTTTTGAGGTCTCGTTCGATTTTTGAGAAAATCGAAGAGATCCCGAACATACGAACACAAAAAGAAATCATCACAATGTATAGTCGCACTGTTGGTATCTAAATAATTTATAATTGTAGTTAGAGAATGATATTTGAGATTTGTGGAACAATAGAGAACAATTATGTTTATTTAATAATATGAGAAAATGAATATGTTGAGGAATGATAGAGACAAAATATATATTATCTATGAATTCCTATTGCTCCTCATCTACACGCATGACACACATATATATATATTGCTCTTTGGATTAACATATCATTATTTTTTTTTTTTTTTAAAANTTTTTTTTTTTTTTAACAACCAACTAATTTATTTATTTCAACAGCTAACTAATATCTAACCAACTAATTCTTACTAACTTCCAACTAATTTCTTTAATGAGCATCAATATTAGTTTCTAGAAAATGAGCATTAATTTTTAACACTCCCCCTTAATGCTCATTTGAATAATCCCAAGTTTTTCGCGTAGACTTTTGTATCTTGATCTCGGTAAAGCCTTTGTGAAAATATCTGCAAGTTGGTCTTCAGTGGCGACATATGTAAGCTCTATCTGCTTGTCATTGGTGGCTTCACGTAGAAAGTGATATTTGATAGCAATGTGTTTTGTTCTGCTGTGATGTACTGGATTTTTCGCCATTGCTATCGCTGACTTGTTGTCGCAGTATATCTTCGTTGGACTTTCTTGGTGTTCTCCCATATATCCAAGAACACGCCTAAGCCAAATAGCTTGACTAGTTGTTAGTGCTGCTGCGACATACTCGGCTTCTGCTGATGATTGTGCCACACAATTTTGCTTTTTAGATGACCACGAGAATATGCCTGAGCCAAGTGAAAATGTGTAGCCCGAGGTGCTTTTCATATCGTCAGTTGATCCAGCCCAGTCACTGTCTGTGTAGCCGACCAGTCTTGAGTCTTCGTTATATTCGTATTTGATTCCGTAGTCTTTAGTACCCTGCAAATATCGCAGTATTCTCTTTGCAGCTCCATAGTGAACTTGGCTCGGACTTTGCATGAACCTTGACAGTAGACTTGTCGCGTACATAATATCAGGTCTTGTGGCTGTCAGATATAGTAGGCTTCCAATCAGGCTTCGATATGTGGATGCGTCTGCATTTGGCGTACCATCGTCTTTGCTGAATTTTTCGTTTGCAACCATGGGAGTAG